AAGAAGAAGAAAAAAAACAAAACAAAAGGTAAAAGAAAAAAAAAACGGGGGTGGGGGGTGGAATGGAGGTCACACCGGAAGGCAAGAGAAAGAAGAAGAAAAGAAGAAGAAGAAGAAGAAGAAACGAAGAAAAGAAAAAAAAGAAGAAGAAGAAGAAGAAAAGAAGAAAAAAAGAAGAAGAAGAAGAAGAAGAAGAGGTTAACGGAGAAGGAATATTAACGGAGAGAATTGTTAAATATATTGTATATATTTAATATATTGTATTATTCTCTTACCTTATTTGTATAGGTTTCCTTACTTGTGTCTCACCTACCTTGTTTAAGATTGAGACTCCCCCTATATATATATTCATGTAATCACAACTCATTCAATCAATGAAAATAATAATTCTTCATGATACCAGAGCCTAATTAAAACAAAAAAAACCCTAACCCTACCTCTCGGCTCTCCCTCTCTCCTGCGGCAGACTCAGCGCCGCCCCTCCTTCAACGTCGGCAGTCCCAGCGGCGGCACTCCCTCCCCCTCTCCCTTCGGCTCTCTCTCCTCTCTTCAATGGCCGAAAGCGAGGTTACCTCCAACTCCACTCCGGCGAAAACCCCTCATCTTGCTTTCACGACGGTCTCTAATGTCAAACTCCACGTTCCGATTCTTCTCAGTCTCTCTCAACCGAACTACAAAAAGTGGAGTCGCCTTTTCCTTCTCTTGGTTCGCCGATTCAATCTCCAAGGCTACATCAATGGCTCCATCGTCCCTCTCTCCGAAGACGACGATGAGTGGCTCCAACTTGACGCTCTCCTCCAGGGATGGATCTTATCCACCATCTCCGACGAAGTCTCGGATCTGGTTATCTCATCTGTCTCCACCGCTTCTGCTCTTTGGAAAGTTATCCATGATCTTTTTCACGACAACAAGAATGCTCGTGCCATGCAACTCGAGCACGAGTTCCGTACCACTGTCAAAGGCAACACTTCTATGGCGGCCTACTGTCAACATCTGCAAAATCTTGCAGACTGGCTAGACGATGTGGATGCCCCGGTGTCCCAACATCAATTGGTTCTTCAGATGCTCCGTGGTCTCCCCGATGATTTGCAAGCCCAGACGTCTTTTCTTCAATTTCAGGANCCACCCCTACTGCCTTGGCCCACCATTTTGACACCATGTCCCTCAAAGAGCCAACCTGGTTTATGGACACCGGCGCCTCACACCACATTGCCTCCGACCCAGGTACTCTTTCTTATGTTTCTTCTTCTCCATCATTATACTCACCATTATATATCACTGTTGGTAATGGATCTAAAGTTCGCACTACGGCTGTTGGAAGCCACACCATCCCCACCACCCCTCCCCTATCCCTCAAACATATCTTAGTCTCCCCTCACATCACTCACAACCTTATCTCTGTTCGTCAACTTACCCGTGATAATAACTGTACTGTTGAATTTGATGCTCATGGTTTTTCTGTGAAGGATCGTCGGACGGGAACCGTGATGCATCGATCCAATGATATGGGACCTCTCTACCCTGTAGGACGCACTACCACTTCACAAGCCCACGTCGCTGCTGCCGATCCTCAGATTTGGCATAGGCGCCTTGGTCACCCAAGCCCAGCCGTCCTCCGTTGCGTCCCTTATATTTCTCATTTTAAAATTATCAACATACTTTATGTCATGCATGTCAATTGGGAAAGCATGTGCGCCTCCCTTTTTCATCATCTAGTCGTGTTTCTAGTTTTCCTTTTCAACTTTTACATTCAGACTTATGGCAATTTCCTGTACCCAGTATTACTGGCTTTAAATTTTACATGATCTTATTGGATGATTTTTCGCATTATTTATGGGTGTTTCCTCTACGACACAAAAGTGACGCTTTTAATCATTTAACCACTTTCATAGCATATGTCAAAAATCATTTTAACACAACAATCAAAGCTGTACAATGCGATAATGGAACTGAATTTCGCAACTCTCCTCTTAAAAATATTTTTGACTCCTTAGGCATTCTCTTTAGATTCTCTTGCCCCCACACAAGTCAACAAAACGGACGGGCTGAGCGCACCCTCCGCACCATTAACAACACCGTTCGATCTCTTCTTTTTCAAGCCCAACTCCCCCCCGAATTTTGGGTCGAGGCCCTTCACATAGCCGCCCACATTTTTAATATACTTCCCACCACCACTCTAAATAACAACACCCCCCATGCTACACTTTACAACTCACCACCCTCATACTCCCATCTCCGTGTTTTCGGTTGTCTTTGCTACCCTAACATCTCCGCCACTACCCCTAACAAATTAGCGCCACGCTCAGCTCGCTGCATTTTTCTCGGTTATCCCTCCAACCAACGCGGCTACCGCTGTTTGGATCTTCAAACTAACAAACTCATTATCTCCCGCCATGTTATTTTTGACGAGTCTAATTTTCCTTACGGTCACCCTCTCACTTCACACGATTTAAAATTTCTCGACGCCACGGATGACGAAACTACCCCACCCTATCACTCC